CACAATGCTTCCAACATTTTAGATTCGAGGTAATAAATGAGATAATATAAATGGGCAGAATATTCCAATTCAAACAAAGAAGCATGAATGAAACTCAAAACCCGACAAGTCTGAAGGATTCTCTAATTTGTCACTTTCTATTAAAATATATATACACATAACATATAAACATATACACCCCTTGTAATACATATGGTATACTGCCACATATATTCTACCTCTGTTCCCATAGAAGATTTAAAATTAATATATTTGTAGAGATGGTATTCATAATAATCATAATGATGGCCAAAAGGCTGTTAATTTCTTGGAGGAGTATCCTCTAGAGACGACAGCAACTAAACATTGGGAAAATGTGCTCTACATCAGTGTACCATGTCCTTACTACCAAAAAGGCTGGCAAATGTTACTGAAATATAGTTCCAGCCCTTTATTTAATTCAGAAGGTTTACTTAGGAAGATATTTGCATTTTCATTAATTGTGTGCATCTGTATGACAAAGCGTCTCCATTAGGAACTTTAGCAAGAAAGAGCCACAGTTCAAGTCAGGCATTTTAAAGGTGTGTTTTCACAGCATCTGGACATGAACTTCTGAGAATTCAGAAAGCAGCTTAAAGCTGATCAGAGTTGGTAACGCTTACAGTGATTTACCTTAAGGCAATGTTTACAGCGTGCACAGAACTGATATTGGACACAATAGGGAACTATAACACACAATACAGCTACATGATATAATAACTAATTTCTAAAGCAAACTCATTACAATCACAGAAGTTTTTTGAGGACACTTAACCTGATCAAATCAAGAGCCGTTTCAAACTGATACATCTTTTGGTTTTTGGTTTGGTTTTTTAAGATAGCAGTTTGTGTCTAGCTGCCAAACTTCAAAGTTGAAATCAGACTCCAATGCTAATACTACGCTTCTTCAGTGTCTGTCAGAACTCTAGCAATCCATTCAGCAATTCTAAATAATTCATGAAAGCCAAATAAAAGATTGGAAAAAATTCCATCAGCAATCTCGAAAATCTCTTTACAAGGGCCATCACCTGACATTGAAGTACTGCAAGGGTCTATAAATTGAAAAAGGACAGAAAACTACACCATTATTCATTAGCCAAGAGCAAAAAGAAAACAGTCTAAAGTGGCCTCTTTGAAGAGGCTGAAAAGGGCCAGAATGAAAAGTCCTATACAGTCATAAACCTTTGCCATCAGTAGTCTGCAATTACAGAGCTACTCTGATCACAAGAGACTTGCAGCAGCAGTTGAAACAGAGTATTTCTAAACATTACTTAGAAGTTAGTGAATACAAATGTATGAATTGACAGAACTCAAAAAGCCTTAGAAGGCTAGAACAAACAGCTTCAAAGGAAATAAGCTCTTCTAGCAATTTGGCTAAAGTATTAAAAAAATAAGCAAGATCCTTGTAGTTGATTGGGAAGAAGGGGAATGAATCCCAAGTTTTCAATACCCTTAAGACTTTTGTACAGAAAACTAATTATCACTAGACAGCATTTTAAGTAATGATTTTAAAATTCAAAATAAATTAATCAGTGAGGCTTTCCAGTACTGTCAATCATTTCAGAGTTGCTTTTGAACTTTTATTTAAATATTTGATACTTTATCCAGAAGATCAGTTACACAACTAAACCAAATACTCCTCTAAAGGAAATCATAGCGTGTAACCAATCTAACCTACTTTTTATTAGAAATCCAAAGTATACATAGGCTTATTTATCTGGCAACTGCCTTTCAACAAATACCTGCCAAAACCCTGTCACACGTAGATCCTAGGATCTTAAGCAAAGGCAAATGTAGTTTTGGCAAATGTAACTGACACTAGGATAGTGGGGGATTTTTTTGCAAATAAAACAAACAAAAAACCCCAACCGCCCACACTCGCATTATCTAAAGACAAAATCTTCACTCACTTGAGAACTTTGTTCCAGCTCATAGTCTTGAATTCAAAATTTGAGAAGGAATTGAGTGGCTATTCCTGCAGTTTCTCATTTGATGCGTATATCCACGAAAGAACAATCTAACACATCTTTGCTTTACAGTTGCTTGCCAAGCACACTCAGATGTAGGAATACAAGTACAATCAGTATCTGTGTGTAATCCTCCTTCTCAAACCAGATGAAAACAAAATGAATGCTGCTGAACTCATGCAGTAAGAGATTTCTTTTTTAAAAGGGAATTTTTTTCCAGGAATACTAGTACCTGGTAATTTCACAAGTGCTACGTTCAACAACTTTACCCGTGTAAACGCATGTGCAATTCTGACTACTACAATTTTTAAAATAGAGTTTAATTTTGAAAAACCCAGTTTCAACAGTTAACTCGGCTTTCCATTTGGATGTGATTTTTCACTTTGAGTCTTATTTCTGGCCGTGAAATAACATTCTCCTGCTTGTGTACAAAGTACACTGAAATGCAAAATTTACAGCTGCCTTGCTCAGACACCTTCCTCTACTACTGTTGCTAATACAGACATGCCTACAAATAAACATAGGAAGAGGTTTGAGGATAGGAGGGGAAATGCACGTGGAGGAGGAGAACACATTTAGTATTGTATCTCTGAGGCATATATTCACAAAATGGGAATCAAAACTCCACTATGAAGCTCAAAGAGAAACTTTAATACTCTGCAAATGCCATTAGAGACGTTACGTTTTTACAGCCAGTAAGCTTTATTACAGAGTAACTTCAGACATATTCCCAGTCATTTTAATTAAAAAAAAATCTCTAATCTTTCAAAGTGACATGAGAATCACCATCCAGACTATGTAATACACCAACATCTAAATAAACCAGATGCTCCTAAAATAGAACATTGACACGAATTCTTTGGGTGAACTGACCCCACCTAACATTCTGAACTGACTGTGGCACTTCTGCTCCAATTTACAAACAGGTGACACCACAGTACAATAGAATTTCTACCCAAAATAGCACATTTCACGAGTATCCAGATCTCATAAACTCTCAAATACAGTACTCTAAATATAAACATTTCTTGACCAAATGAGCTCTCAGAAACACTGTAAATGCTATTCTTTCTCATGCTATTTTTTCCTAGTCTCAAGAACCGGCTTCAGAGTCTCAATTCATGTCAGTTCCCAATTCTGTCATGCTTATCCCTCCATGATGTTTTTCCATGCTATCCCTAAGTCAAAGGCGAGCATTAACGGCCTTTTAGAAGGAGGCAAACTAGTTGAAGATTTGCCTGAAAGGTACAGTCTTGTCAAACACTAGTAGGGTTGTATCTATGTCATTGTACTCCACTTGGCTTGATAAATTCTAGGTAAGCATCCTTCAAAACACTACTTGTATTAGTACACTTAAAGATTTAAAGAGTAAACAACGGAGAGAAGTTAGGAGATCCAACACAGGAATTCTGCCACACAGTGAAAGTTAAGATAACACAACTATTTAATTCAACTCCACATGGAGCAAGATGGGGGAATGCCCAATACGGAGACGAGAGCTTGGCTCTATACACTATGCACGAGGCACAGGACTCAATTTTACTCTTCATTGGCTTCCTTCCGTACAGAAACTTAGGAAAAAAAATCCCAAACATGCACGTAAGAAAATATAGTAAGGTTAGAGGCCATACTGCGCACGGGTCCCAAAAAACCCCCAAAATACAGGGGAAAAGAGCGATTCAGCAGCTGGCAGGGTGGAGCAGAAGGCGGGACAATGACCTAATAGGTCTTTTCTATCTTTAGTTTCGCGAGGCTCAGTGGACAAGCGGCGCCGGGATGCCCCGCTCTGCCTCCGCCGCTCCCGGGGGGGCACCGGGCGTTCTCCGCCCCAAGTTGTCCCGAACTCGCCGCTCCCAGCAGGTATCCCGAGGTGCCGGGGCTGGCAGACAGGGAGCCCGAGGCAGCGCTGAAAGGCAGCACCACTGCTCCGAGTCATTTCCCAGCTATGAGCCACACCAGGGACCCGCGCCGCCCGCCCTTACCTTGAACACTTTACCGAAAGCACCATCTCCCAGCTCCCCGATGATTTCCCAGAACTCCTCAGGGTTCAAATCCCTCTTGACGTGCTCGTATTGTTTCTTCTTCTTCTCGCCGCCCAGCTTGAAGATCTTGCGAAAGTTGAAGAAGGACATTTTGGCTCCGGCCGGGGGACGGGGCGGGCGGCGCTGCCCCCTGGTCCCGCCGGGACCTCCCGGGCCGGGCGGCGCTGCCGGGAGCGACCCCCGCGCCCAGACCTGAGTCCTGGAGCCGCTCGGGAAGCGCCGTCACCGCCGGGCGCTGCGGGCAAACAACACCCTGCGGTGCCCCGGCGGGGCCGGCGCGGGGCTCGGTGCTCCTCTCCCGGGCGGGATCGGCGCTCCTACTCGGCCGGGCCGGGCACCATCGCGGCAACAAGTGCCGGGCTCCCTCCTCGGGACGGGCGGCGGCGGAGCCCGGGGACGAGGGGGAGGGAGCGGTCACGTCCCGCCTCGCAGGACGGGGCGGATGTAGGGAGGGGAGGGCGCTGCTCCCCTGCCGACTCGCGGCCGGTTGTTCCTCACGGAGCGGCGTCCCCGGGGGCGGCGACAGCGGGAGGGAAACGACGCTGCTCGCTGCCGGCCTGCCTCTCCCGCGCTCTCGCGGCGCGGGGCCCGGGCGGCTCCGCTTCCTGCGGGGCGGCACCGGCGGCGCCTCCGCCCCCTCCCTCCGCCCCTGCCCGGCGCCTGCGCGCGCCCCCGTTCCCGCGCGCCCGGAACAGCTTCGAGCCCCTCCCGCCGCTCCGCGCCCGCTCCGACACCGCCGTCGCCGGCGCACGCGCGAAGGCGCGCGACCCCTATTCCCCCCCCCGCACCGGCGTGCTCCGGCGCGTGCGCACGCGCCGCACCGGCAACACGCGCACACCACCCCGCCAACGGTTCGTCTCCGGCAAAGGCGGAGGGAGGGGGTGGGGCTTTCCCTGACCACGTGACGCGGCTGTGGCGGCGCCAGCCAATAGGAACGCGCGGAGGCTTCCGGCGGGTAAGTCGGTGTCGGGCACAAGATGGAGGGGTCGCGCCCTGGGGCTCCCCCCGGCCCTCAGGGCAGAGGGGTGGTGCTGGGGCGGGAGCGAGCGCTCGTCCCTCCCTCCTGTTTTTGCTTGTGGGAGGGGGAAGTCGCTTTTCCCTTTTGTCCTCAGTGTGCTGTTACGGTAGGGACGTGGGGCAAAAGCACCCTTTATCCTGTGTTTTAGCTGCTCATCCCGAAGGACGCCCCGCGCCTCTCATTGCTGCTCCGCAGTCCCGGACAGCGAGGGTCTCCCCAACCCTGTGGCAGAGGATGACGTTCCCTAGTTAGGGCGAAAGCCTCCCCTCAGGGCTGAGTGGGTCCCCCGGGTTCCTCCTGGCAGCGCAGGCAGAGCCCCCCAGCATCGCCCCTGAAGGGGCTGTGAACCCCCCCATAAAGAGGTGTGCCAGGAGCGCTGCGATGGCAGGTGGTGCTTCCTGGGGTTTTGGGCTTTGACGTGGCTCTCAGAGGAAGGTGTTGACAGCAAAAACGCCACGTTGGAAGACTTTATTTTGTTTGTGGGCCAGTGCTGTTCCTAGACCTGCTCCTGGCTTGTCACGGCATTCGGTCATAGCTGGGTGTGATGTTCATGTGCTGCGCGTTTGGTATCTTTGGTATCTTATTTAATCACTGGGACAGGCTTGAATTTCCTTATCTCACAACCTTCTCTTCCCACAAGTGATTCCTTCATCACCCTGAAGTACGGTTGTGTTTTAATAGTTGTGTGTATGCCACCAAGCGTGTGGTGTTTCTTCACTTGGAAGCACGAGGCGTTCCCGTTGCCTGGATAAAGGGCAATTAGCAGGCACGGAGAAAGGTTTGGGCTGTGACAGGAACTCGATCCAGCAGTTGGGGCGATGCTGAGAGACCTGAGAAGGATCTGATAATGAGACAAACACCCAGGGAAAATCGTGTAATGCCTTGTCCTCGTATGAACCTGAGTGCCTGTAGTTGCCATTAATTTAAGCTGCATGATGAGCTTCTAAAGATCCAACCTCTGGTGTGTATCACTCCTCAGACCTTTTTATTAGCGTGACAATAGTTTGCTATCTATGGAGGATAGTCCATATGTAAACTTAATCATAATAATGAGGCATTGAGATGCACCCGTGCTGGGGTTCATATTGCAGCCTTTATGCTCTCCTTGAAAGAATCACTTCTTAGGAGAAGAAAGTCCTGGGCTGAGTCAAGAAAGGGATTTCAGCAAAGGAGTTTTCTAATAGTACAGATTTTTGCAGTAGTGAATATTAGAAGATTCAGAAGGAACAAAGGGCATAGAAATAGCCTGGACCTGAACTTTGCATTGCGGGTTAACAATGTTTTTAGCTGAAACCTGCTGGGGCAGAAGCCTTTTAAGAATATGTTGGTGATGTATGTTGAGTAATAAGTGGTGCTAATAGTATTTGTAATGTACTGGAACACCCTGTGCCAGGCACTGTTCTGCCCCAGAACACGGGGATGGCCCCTGACACTGAGAGTTTATGAATCAAACAACAGTGTTGTGTTATGAGTCCATTTCTTTAAACTGTATAAAGACAGTTTCAAGGGTAATACCACCCCATGAACAGAGAGCCTTTCAAGTGCTCTTGCTAACCTTATTTGCTGTAATAATCAATGTTTGTTTTTCTAAAGTTATATTGGGCTTTGTGGTTCCTTTGTACTGACAGCTTGGCCACACAATGTAAAACTGTTGAGGAGGATGCTAAAGCCAAAACTTTATTTTTTTGAGGGCAATAACAAGAAACAACTGCAATCCAAACTTTTGTTTTCTCTTCTGTGATCTGGCTGGCTGGCTCCACCTATTAACTTCATTTGCAAGTTTCATGGAGATAGTTTGGATTAAATACAATAATAAAGAGTGATTGATAATATTTCTTCAGTGTTACCAACAGCAATTTAGCTTCTGAAACCTAAATTTTTAAAGTTCAATTTCTTTTTCTCTATATAACCTCTTTTTTTGCCCTTTCAGGGGGGATCATAACTTTGTTTTGGATGCTAAAATACAGTGATGGCTTTAATGATAATTTTAATTAGTATTTTTAATTGAATATTTTGTTTTTATCTTTCTTTCTCTTGGATAAAAAGTGCTTTGGGACTAATTTCCGTAAGTTTGTTTAAACTGACTGATTGGTAGAGGATGGGGGGGAAAAAAGGAATCCAAAGCCATTGCATGAATTTCTTGTCTTTAGGTAGGATTATCTTTTCTTCAGCCTCAGGGTTAGTGTCATAGGGTAGAAGGGAGGGGTGTGTGTGGGGTGAATGTCAGAGTTTGTAATAACTGGAAATAAATGCAAAACTAAAAGAAAATGTCGTGAGCCGTATGTGAACAAGTGTAGCTGAGCTGGCAGCTGTGGGATGGGATAGCAGGGCCTGGTTCTTTCTCAGCTCTATCGATAAATGAATGTTGGACTGTCAGTAGCTCACACACAGCATCTCTGCAATGTGTCATTTCACTGTGAACTTGTGTGTTTCACTCTGAGCAGAACAGAGACAGTAGTGTCATCCTGCCAGTGACTAAATGTTAGTAGGTACTGCAAATGTGTTGCTTTAGACTTTTATAAAGTCTTCCTGTTCCAGGGAGCTTTTAATTCTTAAAACATTAAAAATATAAGATGAAGGGCTGGCACAAGAAAGGAGTGATAAAGTTTTGCTTTTAACTTTTTTTTTTTGCTTACACTTTAACAATTCAGAATAAAACCAGTATATCTGAAACAGAGAACTGTGGCTCAGTCTGGTTTTTTCCCTTATTCTTTCATTCTGGAGTTACAGCTTGCCACTCAATCCTAAAAATAAACTCTGTAAGGTGAAGGTTAAGTGCTAGTAGCAAATCCTTCCCAATTTGCTTTGACTTCCTGGTATGGAGGAGGCTGTATGAAGCCTGGGTTTTTGTGTGTGTGGTTTTTTTGTTCCTGATAGCAGGAGTTTTTAGCAACTGTAAATGTTTCCAGATGGTAAGGATAAAAAGGTAAAAGTGAGTTATATTAAAATTTCTCCTTCAGGAATTTAAAGCAATGCTTTTTGGAAATTCAGTGCTTCCTTTAAATATCACAGGAAGATGTTAAAGTGAAGATGTTAAAGAACTGTCTTAGTTGTGCATCAAATATATTGGCTTAAGAATAGCTGTAACACTTTATGGCAATCTTTTTCATCTCTTTGTGATTTAGAGGTCTCCTTTATACTTTCTGCTGTTTAATATCACCATCCTTTCCCATTGCCTCAATCACACTTGCCACTGTTCCTAACTCCCTGTTTAAGTTCCACTTCTGTTTCATTTAAGCTGTTCCAGTTTCTCTTAATTGAAAGTAAACACTTCAGAAATTTAATTTGAAACATGTTCTTCACAGCATATATTGCCCTTTCACTGCAGGCCTGCATCCTGTCTTCAGTCCTTTCAGAATATTTAATGATATATTTTTGTACTGTCTTGACTTTCTGTCCATCCGTGCTTTCACTGGTCTCCAGCCTTCTTTCTGATGATTGAGTTCATTGAACTGCTGTAAGGTCACAGGTGGCTTGTTCGTGGTTAAATCTGAAGTGTAATTCTTATTTTATCCGTCTTAATCTGTCTGTCACCTTTGGCACTCAACACTGGCCTTTCTGTTTTCTTTAATTGATGTATGTAGTGTTTTTATTGGTATTTTCCAGCTATGTGGTGGCATTTTCTCATAGGCTCTACGATTTGTCTTCTGATGTGTTCCCAAAGTTTGTGCTGTATTGGATCATTTCAGTTCTAAGCACCACTGCAACTTCTAGATCGCTATAGTTAACCCACTGCCTTCCTTTTTAACCTCCTTTTTGTATACTTGGTTTTGCCAAGACCCCACGTATGCAGCCTCTGTATCTGAAGTTATTTCCAGATGCTGCCTTGCTTCCCTCTGAATCTGACTTCTTTTTCCTGGGATTTCAGGATTTTATGGAATTAAGGTCTGATACTTTGCCTTGTACCACCACAGCATTAGTAACTTTCCTCGTTCCTTCTGGCTTTATGAGAAAGTTTTGGTGACTCTCCCATACCTGACCTTTATCTCCCTTCTCTCATTCATCATGAGTCATTTTTCCTTTCCATATTCTGAATGTGTTGGTTTCTCATAGGAGCACCTCAATTCAATGGATTTTAAATACCGGCGTTTTCAGTCGCTTTCAACCTTGTACATTAACCTTAAAGATACTATTTTTCTTCACTCTATGATATTTCCATCCTCTTTGTGTACATGGCAAATTTTTGACTTTTTATCTTTTTTCTGTGACCCCTCTGCACTTTCTGTTTCATACCTGACTCCTTTGTCCTGATGCCCTAACTTATGGTGGTAAGTATAGAGGAGCTAGTAGTATCATCAATTAATAAATCATGTTTATGACAAGGTGAAAAAGGAAATACAAAAGAGGGCTGAAAGAGATTTTTATTTCTCTGTGGTGTAAGAGGTTGGCCTCTGGCTATGTGTTTTCCTTTGAGGAGCATCAACTTGTTATCCATTTTCTGGAAGCCTTGAGAGGGGAGACTGTTGTGTATAGAATCATTAAGGTTGGAAAAGACTTTTGGGATCATAGAGTCCAACCTTGGACCGAACACCCACCATGTCAATTAAACCACACCACTCTAAGTGCCACAGTCAGTCATTTCTTGAACACCTCCATGGATGGTGACTCTACCACCTCCCTGGGCAGCCTGTTCCAAGGCTTAAACTCCCATTCAGGGGAAAAATTCTTCGTGATGTCCAACCTGAACCTCCCCTTGTGCAGCTTAAGACTGTGTCCTCTTGTCCATGAGAAAAGGCCAACCCTCACCTCTCTACAACCTCCTTTCAGGTAGTTGTAGAGAGTGTTAAGGCTTCCCTTGAGCCTCCTCTTCTCCAGACTAAACACCCTCAACTCCCTCAGCCACTCTGTGTACGACTTACTGTCTAGACCCTTCACCTGCTCCATTGTGCTTCTCTGGACTTGCTCCAGCACCTCAGTATCCTTGGAGTGAGGTGCCCAAAACTGAACACAGCACTCGAGGCGTGGCCTCAGCAGTACAGGGGAATGATCACTTTTTCTTGTTTTTAATGCATTACTGGAGGACCAGTTAATCTAAGAATTGCCATAGAAACACGTGGCATTTGGAAGCTTCAACATGTAAGGGTATTACTAACACTCTAAGTGTTA